TAGAATTCTGGAGGTGTTGCTTATTAATATTGTTCATACTTGTTAAGGAAATAATTGTCATTGTGCTCCATGTATTTTTACACAGGTAACAAATATTTACAGCAACTACCAGAGGGAATGCTTGTTCCCTCCATACAGGTGCTGAATGTCCAGAGAGCTCAGTTGTATGAGGAAATGGTAAAGGTACCCCTGCCCGTACGGGCCAGTCGTGTCTGACTCTAGGGTTGTGCGCCCATCTCACTTAAGAGGCCGGGGGCCAGCGCTGTCCGGAGACACTTCTGGGTCACGTGGCCAGCGTGACGAAGCTGCATCTGGCGAGCCAGCGCAGCACACGGAAACGCCGTTTACCTTCCCGCTATAAAGCGGTACCTATTTATCTACTTGCACTTAGGGGTGCTTTCGAACTGCTAGGTGGGCAGGAGCTGGGACCGAGCGACGGGAGCGCACCCCGCCGCGGGGATTCGAACCGCCAACCATGCGATCGGCAAGCCCTAGGCACTGAGGTTTTACCCACAGTGCCACCCGCGTCGCAAATATTAGGAAATATTAGGCCCAGACTATTACTTTCTTCTTGAGTAAAAACTGAATTTAAAATATTTATCCGTCCTCCTCCTCCTGTAATACAAGTAGGGACTCTGAAACATTTCTCAGGGAAAGTAGGGTGGGTTGGACTCCTGTTTCCTTTCCTCACTGCAATACTTAAGGTAAGCCCCCATACTACTTAAAGGATCCTTGGGGATTAGAATTTGGATTGTATTGAACTTGAAATGTAGACTTGTCCCTGGAGAGCATGTGTACCTATTCTGGTCTTCTGGGACAGTATGATCCCAGTGCACTCATGATTGCCAAATTGCCAATGTAGAAACCTCATCAGGCCACAGATCGGACTTGCCTACAGGAGCAGCACCCATGCACAGGTAAGGAACCATCTAATTAACTACAAGTTTTTCAACTGCCACCATCTTATAAATGTGTGCCAAGAGAGATACCATGTTAAACAGAATGGTGAATAAATGCATAGATGAATTAAGCCACTGTGAATTACCAAGAGAGGTGAGGGGCAAGTTGTCAGGGAGCTCAGTGCAGGGTGGGAGCAGAGATTGGCTCCACCACTGTGCACACCCGCTGCTGAGTTCCCTGCGCCTCTCCCATCTTGCATAAACAGCGAGGACATTTGGCATCAGGAAAACAAGTGAGGAACACTGCCTTGCTCAACAACTTTAAAATCATTTTAAAAAGCTCAACATCTTCAATCCTAAAAAACACACATCATCAAATCTGGCCCTCTTTAAAAAAAGTTTGGACACCACTGCTACTGGATTAACCTACCTCACAGAATTGTTGTGAGGGCAAGGAGGGATTCTGAACGCTCTGTCTTGAGCTTCTTGGAGAAAAGGTGGAATAGAAATCCAACATAATTATATATTTTAAAAAAAGGAACAGGAGAGAGGAACCTGGAAGTTGCTGCATTTGGTGCAGCTTCAATGATACCTGTTATCTGTGGTGTTGCAAGGTCTTACCACTGGATGAGTAAACAGGCAGGCAGCATTGGTGAGAGGGGGCTGGGAAGGTTTTTCCAACAGGTGCATGTAGTGGCTGTTGGAACAGATAGTTGCTACAGTCACCTGGAACCTTTTTACCATATGGAGCCCATACATGCAAGATCCATATGTTAACTTATTTCAATATGCCAGCAATTGCTATTCTCAACCCTTAAAGGGTAAAGGTACCCCTGCCCATACGGGCCAGTCTTGACAGACTTTAGGGTTGTGCGCCCATCTCACTCTAGAGGCCGGGGGTCAGCGCTGTCCGGAGACACTTCTGGGTCACGTGGCCAGCGTGACAAGCTGCATCTGGTGAGCCAGCGCAGCACACGGAACGCCATTTACCTTCCCGCTAGTAAGCGGTCCCTATTTATCTACTTGCACCCGGGGGTGCTTTCGAACTGCTAGGTTGGCAGGCGCTGGGACCGAGCGACAGGAGCGCACCCCGCCGCGGGGATTCAAACCACCGACCTTTCAATCGGCAAGTCCTAGGCGCTGAGGCTTTAACCCACAGCGCCACCCGCGTCCCATTTTCTCAACCCTTGCTTCAGTGTAAATAGGCAGGGTCAGAAGGTTATCGCTACTCCAATCGGTAATTATTGTGTGCTGTGTGCAGAAGCTAAGCCTGATGCCTTTTGCAGCGTGTGACAGTTGAGAGGTCATTATGGATGCATTCATGTTGGGGGAAATGTCAAACTCGACATAACATTTATAGGACCACATAGTCCTGATGCATATTTATATTGACATAATGGGGCCTTGGTGTCTGTACAAGGTGTTCAGTGTGATTCAAGTGCCTGAATCTGAGAGGTAGGAATCATCACTCTCCAGCAATCAGAAATGTAATGTTTCAAATTGGTTGAAGACCTCACGTATTGCAAATTTCTGAACAGTAATTAAATCTTTAAGGAGTTCAAAATCTGATATTGAGATATAGCGCCACCTGGGGGAAAGCTCATGTCTCAGAAAACACCTTTTAAAAAATGTATTTCTTATATAATGGGTGTATAATAGTTCTGTTGGTTTTTAGTCCCACTTTTTATTTATCGTGCATTATGCTGAAATCTGTTTCAGCAAAAGTGCTTTGCTTTAAACTGTTATTTATGAAAAGAGATTTGTAATTATCAATAGCATTTCTGGGCATTTTATTTTCATAATAATCGCTTGTTTTGGGAGACCCATAAGTGAGGATATTATTTGCATAGGCTGCTGTGGCCTTCCCTAGACATTTACTCAGAAGTTAAAAGCTTCTGCAGAATCAGATGCCTGTCATTCACATCTAAGAACTGATTTCTTAATGCTCCTCCTTAAGTCTGCGAGTACTCTAGCCGAAGTGTCGTGTGTTTATGCTGGGCAAAAATAAAATTATTATTAATAATTACGTTTTTTAAAAAGTACATTGTAACATTATTTGAATGTCCCATTCCTGCCGTGGTTAAAAGACAAATAAATCTGGAAGGGGGCATTAGCCTTCAGATGGGAGCAGTTTGGGGATATGTTGTTTTGTATTCTAGTGAGTGAAGTCTTTGATAAGGAGGTGCCTCTCAGTGCTCTGAGCACAACCCCTGGTTTCGAAGGCCCAGCTGCCACCATGTGGGGCGCTTTCCGTATGCAAATGCATTAGTATTTAACCAGCATTCCTTGTGGCTGTGGCAGCAGTGCTTCTCTGGCCGTGGCCTATTTCTTTTTTTCCTATCCATGAGGTCTGACGTCCAAAGAGGACATCCTTCCCATAATGGACCCTTATGACAAACGGTGACATTTTACGGCGGGCCTAAGTAATAAATGCAGTGAGAGAAGGCCCTTGGGTTGGATCAACACCGCTTTTGCAAAAGGTTAAGCACTCGCCGCCTCCACCTTCGTCTCAACTCATGGAGTTGCTTTCTTTTTTTTCCCTTCGGCAAATCAGAGTCGCTTTGGTTACCGAGACCTCCTTTGCGCTAAGTGCTGCTGTCCGAGGTGCTGAATCGATGGCTCACGGTACAATCGCCCTGCATCTTTCGGAACAATAGCCTGCTGTGAGCCATACGGTGGCCATTATCTTTGGGTACCTGCCGCGGAATGAACATCAGGGGATCGGCTTATTTGCCTTCTTTTTTTTTCTTATAAGAGAGGATAAAATAATGCTCGATAAAATAATCATCGTTTGATTTGTATAGGGCTCAGTATTGCGAGAGCACACTTGCTAAATGGCATATGCTAGCGAGAACCTGTCGTAACACACATCACGCAGGTGGCAGGATTCTATCTTGGTGTTCAGAGAAAAGTTAAGCTCCAGGCTGGGTGGGAGGGCACCCTGAAATTATGAATACACGGGTTTGTGTAGCGGAAGACTAGCTTTGACACATAAAAAGCAGCATATGTAATTATATGTACTTGGGATAGGGCTCCAATTGCTCAGACATTTCTCCTGTATAGCAAAGTGTATTCAGATGGGCAGGCTACAAATCATAAAATTATTATTATTATTATTATTATTATTATTATTATTATTATTATTATTATCATCATCATCATCATCATCTTTCCTCAGTTCTGCAGATCTCCCGGTGAAGGTGGTAACTTAGTTTTCACGAAGGAGTCTTTCAGAAAGGAGATATGGCTGACACCTTTACAATGTTGCTGTTTGGCCTCTGGTAGAAATCTTTCACGCCCATAGCACGTGTGTGTGTGTGTGTGTGTGCGCGTGTGTCCACAACATTGTATATTTTCCCATAGACAGGCGTTTGTTTCTTCATCTGGCTAGTCGCTTTCCAGCGCTAGAGATAAAACGTCCTTCATGTATTGGCAGAAAGTGGAATATTTATTAAAGCTCCGGGTGCTATTGGGGGACACGGGCTTCTACTCTCCCCTTCAATTTTATTTTTAGCGAATGGGTGCAGTAAAGAAACCGAGTTTGATACGCGTGTGTCTGTTGCTAAATCGGAGTCCTCTAATAACAAGGTGGTTTTGTAAACGGACTAGATGCAGAGCAATCCCGTCTTTGGTTCCTTGGTGCCCCCCAGTGGAAAGTTCCAAAATAATTATTCAAGCTTTGGATTCCCGCCCCCTTCGTAGACGGCAATAAATGGACGGTGGGCTTTATAAAAATTCTCTAAGCTCCTCCAAATGAATTGAGAAGGGAAGACACACACCGCCAACCCCCAATCCTCCTTTTTAAGACGATTGCTCAACAGTACGACCAACATGTTCCGGGCGCTAATGAGGTTGCTATCAGAGAGAAGCGACCATCAACCCAAATTAGGATTGAGCAGGTGGCTTTTAAAGAGCCAACTTTTATAAGGAAGACTCGTCGGAGAGAGGACGGCAAAACTCCCTCGTGGAAGCAGGAATGCAAGGCTCTGTGTGGCGTGGCGTGATCTGGACCCATGAAGATCACGCGAACACCTTGGTCTGAACAGGCAAACAGCCTCTCCTTCCAGCAATCGGAGTGCGGTAAGTATGCGCACAGAATCCCTTCTCGGGTCAGCCGTGATCTGGATTCAGAATCGAGGTGCGAAACCACACGCGCTCCTTCCACTCCGCTCTTCCTTGGGGGAACCGCCTGCACACCTGCGAGTGAATCACGCTCGCTTGGGAAGGCGCAACGCTTGGAGGCGCGTGATTCCTCTCTCTGTCTCTCTCTCTCTTGCACCCCCCTCCCTCTCTCGCCGCCTTAGTCAACACCCGCACTCCTGCCCTCCCAAACTCCAGCTCTTTGGCTTCCCATCTTGGAGAAAACGAGGTGGAGGCGCTGGCAGAAGCAGTGACTCATGCCTGCGTCGCAACAGATCAGCCGGCGATTCGAGCTTTTTTAAAAAAAGCGAATCTCAAGTATTGGGGGGGGGGGCGCTAAGGTCATCTCGAATTAAATGCCAGGGAAGCCATTGATATTCCGACGTCGTTCGTGGCGGAGTTTATAAACGGCGAAGTTCTTCCAAAACGAAGATTTCTCCATCCTCCGCCGTTTGGGTTCCTGGAGTTGGAGCCTGGGTTGGTAAGTCTCTCTTGATTTATTTTAAATTTTTTTCCAACGAAAAAGAACTCGCCCCTCCGCTCGTGGGTTCCCGGAGGATTTTGGAGGCTTCCTTTCGAGACGGTAGGGCTGTCTCCGTACTTAGAATTGAGGAAAGGATATTCGGTATTGGAAAGCTGATGTTTACGAGGAAATAACCTGTTACTTCACTTTCCACCTTGGCCCAGGACATATCCCCGCATCTCTATCTCTCTCGTTCTTTCTCTACCTCCGGAGATTTAGGTTTGTGACTCGAAATTAAAGGCGTGTAGACAAGATGCAATCCTTCACCCGGCTGACCCACAACACCCAGGGGTGCACTTTATTCACGATAACTTTTTTCGTTTGGTGATGATGCCACAGTGACAGGTGGCGATAAATCTTAACCAAAATTAAACCTATCTATTTCCCGTGAGCTTAGATTTTGATGTGTTTTTCAAAAAATCATTATTATTAAATAACGTGGACCAAACAGCTTTGAAGTCCAAACTCCCGAATGAGGTTGAGATCATGTACTGATGGATCCTCTGCTTTCTGACGACCAATGAACCTCCGGAAGAGGGTTGCTGGACGCGGAAGGAAATGTCTTCCCATTCCCAAAGCAGCGCCAAGAACACGTGTAGAGAGAGAGCGAGCCCCAGGAAGACCAGCCTCTGTAGAACATCTCAATTTCCATTCATTCATTCATTGTATAATTCGTTTGTGCGCATTCAGAGGCGCAAGTTGCCCTGTAAGAACAGATCGGCTTGGCTGCTCCTTTCCCGCAATATTCGCCCCCCAGTTCGCCTCCCTCGACGTCGTTTCGTTTGCCTTTCGTCAACCTGCGAAGGGAGAAGGCGCCCCGGGGACCACCACCGGGATCGCTCGGAGATCTTTCTTCCTCAAGCCATCGCCGGTCTCTTCCTCTCCCGACGCGTTTCTCCGCTTCCCCATTCGCTCCGAGCCGTCGCCTCCTTCGCTGCCCATTGAGCAAGAAGGGGCGTCGAGTGAGTGAGTGAGTGAGTGAGTGGCCGGCGGCGGCCATCCTCCTCCTCTCCCTCCTCCTCCCACCTGCCCTTCCCCTCCGCCGCTTTGCTTCCAGGGGCGAAGACGAATCGTGCTCGGCTGGCCAGCCCCGTCCAGACATTTCCCCCGCTCGCTCGCTCGCTCGCCAGCGCTGCCTCATAAAAACCAACGAGGTGTCGTCGCCTCCAGCCATTTCTCCAGCCACGTCGCTTTGTCTGAGGAGAGGAGGCGGGCGAGAGATCCGCGCACCTCCGAGGAAGAAAGGGATCCTTCTTCTCCTTCTTCTCCCCGCGCTGGAGGTGCAACAAGGTCCTGCTGCCCTCCCCACCTCCGACGGCCTGCGACTTGGCGCCCAGTTTAATGGCTTCTCGTCGCGCCTTGGCCGTAGCGAGAGGAGAGAGAGGGGGCGGGGGGGGGGACCGAGAGTCACAGCCCGAAACACACACACACAACCACACACACAACCACACACACACCCTCTCTAAACCCGCCTTTCTCTTCCCTTGCAGTAAATCACTCTGCTGGGATCGGAGGAAGGCTAAGGCAAGAAGAAGACGACGACGAAGCAGCCCGGGATCCAAGGGCTTTGCCTCAGCACCTCATGGCGACCTCGGACCCGTCCTCGTCCAACACGGCTCCGGATCCCAATCCGAGCAACTTGCGACCCACAAGTAGGTCTCGCCTTCCCGTCTCGCGCCGCCTTCGTTTGCTGCCGCGGTTGTGGCGGCCGCGCGTCGTCGTCGTCGTCCTTTTCCGGCGGGTGGGTGGCTTCCCCACAAAATTCGACATTCGCCACAAAAAGCACCGCGACCGAGAACGACCGACATGGAAGCTCGCCTTCGAACGAGAAACCCCTTTCCTTCCACACACACCCCAAAAAAAACACGAATTCAAGCCGAAACCGTGGGGTGGTGGGCGTGGGTTCGGCTTGGGGAAAAAACAAAGGAACCAAGGAATCTGGGGCCATTGCTACAAAAAGGAGAGCAGGGGTGGCAAGGTGGGGTGGAATAAAAACCCTGTTCGCTGAGGAGGGCTTTGTACGCGGCTGCTGGAGCCGGGCGTGAGGGGCGGGTCGGGGTCTCCGACCGTTTTTCGGGCTGACAGACCCGGCCGGCGGCGCCAAGTTCCACCGGTGGTTTCTGACGCGCGGCGCGAGTCCCTTCCCGCCGTTTCTTTTTCATTTCCCTGAGGTAATCTCTGATCCAGGGGGCCAATGGAGGCTATTCGAGAGGGCCCCCCCCATCCCTTGTCCCTAACTGCCCCGTGTTTTGCCTGGAGTTATTAAGGTGTGAGTCGGAAGGGGAGGGCGCGAAGGAGCCGGGTTTATAGCTTTCGGCTAGACAGACATTCGGCAACCCCGCGGAGGAAGGGGGGGAAAAAGGCGGGAGGAGGGGGCGCGGCGGAGGCTTGAAATAAGCCTGGACGACATAATCACCCAAAGCTTGGAGGGCGATAAATGGTCCGCCCCCCTTGGAAGGCAATGGACACCCCCGTCATTATTGGGCCACATGAGGGGAGGCGAAACCCACCCGGCGAAAAGAGCTCTTTTTTTGTGGCGGCCCTTGTTTGTGTTTGTGTGGTGTTTTTCTTTCCTCTCGCCTCCGAGCTGTCAAAAGCTCGCCTAATTGTTTCAAGGCGTTTCAAGGAAACCCGTGGCGGGCTTTTATGGGGGGGGGTGACACGGACACACGACAAAAGAAGGGGCGAGCGCGGTGTTGTGTATGCGTGTGTTGTGTATCTCCTCAGGAAGAATCCCTTCCCTCCGCGACCATTTCAAGGAATGCGGCCTCCCGTCAGGTTCCCTCACAGCAGGGAGCAGCGCGGGCTGCGCGCCCTCTTCCCGCGCTCGCGCGGCCATTGCCTATTGTTTCCCGACGGCTCTCTCTCTCGCGCACGCGCTCCCTCTCTCCCGCCTCCCGGTCCGGCTGCGGGAGCGCGCGTGTGATTGAGGGGAAGGGATGGAAGAGGTGGTGTGTGTGTGGCGCGTGTCCCTTGGCCTCCTCTTCTGGTCATGCTCCACCTCGCCTGAGGCGTCTTAAAGTCCTGTCAGAGCTGCTTCTCCCGCCTGCCACTCTTCGGTCCCGCCCTCCCTTTCGGCGCCCCGTCCTTCGTCCTCTCCGGCTGTCCTTCTCCGGCGGCCGGGCGGCCTCCTCCCTTTCACCTGAGGCGACCTTCTCCCTCTGCCTCCTCGCCGTCCTTGCGCCTTTCCAGCCCGCTGACCCGCTCGAAGGGCTCTCCACCCGCGCCATTTGTCTTCTTCCCGTTCCCTTTCCCGCCCTCCTCTTTTCTGCTCTCTTTCCCTGCGCGTTTCCCTCTCTGCCTGATGGCTCCAGTTCGACCAGCACCACCACAACAACCCCCATTTTTTTTGCCATACATTCCCACCCCCCACCTCAGCAAGCATCTCTCCAACTCTTAAGCTTGGAATCTCCCTCCCCGCTTCCCCATAGCTGTCAACTTTTCCCTTTTCTTGCGAGGAATCCTATTCGGAATAAGGGAATTTCCCTTTAAAAAAATGGGAAACGTTGACAGCTATGCCTTCCACCCCTTCAAATGCGCTCTGTACCCCGCCACCATTTCCCTGGGCGCGCCTTCTCGCGCCCGCCTTCCTGCCTCTTCCCGTCCTCCCCGGCCAGAGCGCCCCCTGCAGGCGCGTTTTTTAAAAAGCGTGGAAGGGGTGGTAGTAAAGGCGCGAGACCCAGCGCGCACTGCGGGCGGAGCCAAAGCCCAGCCTTTTCATTTAGACATTTCTGTCCTTTTCCCCCAAGGGGCAGCTGGGGGTGGGGGGTGGGCGGCGGGGAAGCCTCTCCTTCGTATTTGCTGTCCTCTCCGACATGCCGGTTTGAGACCGTGGTTGCATCCATGCTTAAAAGGAAACGAGCTCCACGAATGCCAACGGACACCTGCTTTCAAGGGGTGTGGATCGCATGGAAAGCTGGCGATCTTTCTTGAAAGGAAGTTGCGTTGGAACCAGGGGGTCCCGAAAGGATGCAGCTGCAAAGGCCATAAATCTTAACTCCGGAGCAGTTATCCTCTTTGTATTGGGACCTAAAACAATGGCCAAGTAATACACCGCTAGCTAGAACCTTTATTCTCCCTCCTTCTTTCCTGCGTCCCTCAGTCTAGCACTGGCTTTACTACAGGCCCAGCTTTTGGTCCCTTGGAGAAATGGGGTGTGCTTGTTTCCACAATTCTAATGCAGGGTTTTAACTCTACCCAATGCGTTTTGCTTATTTATATATTTATTGGCAATCGAATTTTTCTCTTTCCTACCCCCACCCCACTCCATTAATTGCTTCGGACGGACTCCTTCATTTCCCTCTCCTTCTAATTTCTTCCAGGAGTAGTGTGGGGGAAGCACATTGGAAATCCACTTAATGAATTTCAAGTTGGATTTCACAGAAATACACGGCAGTCAGGCAAGCTAGTTGTCTTCTTCAGGCATTGCCAGTATCCGTGCTTTGGGACATGCAGCTTAGGTTTCATTTAGGCCGCCTCCTGAATAATGCACGCATAGCTTTTAAACTTGAAAACATGTTTTATAATGCCACTAGCGCTTTAGAGTTTAATGAATCAGAATAAAATACTCTTTTCCTTCTGGGTTACATTCACACGGTGTCCTTTCTTAGGATCCGGGTTAGTCATTGGCAGAGCCGCAGTTACTGGGCATGGAAGCCAGCTGCCAAATAGGCTTACTCGGAAGTAAATCCCCCTGAGTTCAGTGGAGCTTACTACTGTATTCCTTAACACCGTGGCAGAGCCGTTTCCAATTCTCCAGGCCTCTTGAAGTCTCTCGGTCCGCTGGGGCTTTGATGGTTGGCAATCAATTATCTTTGTTTCCTTCCTCCTGCGATTTGTTTGTGGGGAGTATTTTGTTTTTTTTTCTCTTCCCTACTTTATCCCTTTCTATTTGCCCTCTCTCGTTTCAGTTAGCGCCCCAAACTAACTCACACTTGCCTAAACCTAATTGAAGGTCGTTGCAGCCTCTCGCACTTTCAGCACCGCCTGAGATGGACAGCGCAATGCGTGTTCCAACTGCCTGATAGGGGTTGCGGGCAGTATGAATGGGGTTGTCTCGAAAAATGGGGAGCAGGACGACGTGAGGGGCTTTTCAATGTGTCTCCCTGACTCGTCATTCCGGCTGCAACCTAGTCATGCAAGTCTGATCATCTAGTCAAATACTATTTTTCACCCAATTAATTCCTGAACTCTTCCATGACCCCATTTCATGCCAGTTTATTTTAAGCTGCCACTTTCCTGGAGCAGTGCCAATAAATTATTAGGAGATAGTCAGGTCTCTCTCTCTCCTCCAGCTGCTTTGTCTCTTCCCATCTTCCGGGTGGTACCTATACTGCCAGCGACACACCACTGACTCGCCTGCGCGCACAACCTGCTATTCCCTCCCTCCCACCCACCACCCACCTCCTGATTCCTTCATCGGCCCCAAAGGCTCCCTTAAAAGGAGAGCGTGCTCGACTTTGTTAAAAGACCACGGAAATCACAAACTGGAGGCTTGATGGGGAACTTGGAATAGCAGAAAGCTGGGGAGGGGGCGGCGACATGAGGTTTATTTCCGTTGTCTAATGGGGCTGCGACTAGACAACAAAGACTTTTGTTGTGCTAGTACCAGCTATCACAGGGGGAGTGAAACTATGTCTTTGTTTGGACCAACCACTGCAAGTCTCCCAATCCTTGCGTTGACCTGGAGACATTAACGTAAAGCAAACACACCTGTGCGAAAAGATGCAGGTAGCTACGCTGAGAATGGAGGCCTGCCATTTTCTTCCACCAGCACTCACATTCATACCGGAGGCATTCTTGATGATCCCAAAGACGTTTCGTTTTAGAGTTAAGCCTTCTAGCTGCCATGAGGGTAGAAAACAGAAAGATAAAATGCGTTCCTCTTGGAGCAGTCCCTGTCCGGCGTAAGTCTTCGCTCCCACCACACCTCTCCAATAACCCCTTCTAGGGCAGTAGAGGAGGCACTCTGCTTATGGCCGGCTAAAACTCTTTGCCTGTTCACCTTTTGAGTGGGATCTGCTGCAATAAGGTAAATTAAGATTGAGATGCCAGTGTAATTGCCGTCGTCCCCCCCATTACTCCAAATCGCCAGTGCGATCAGTCAGTCACCTTTTGGGACCCGTTCTCTCTTTTGTCTAGCAGAACATTATGGTCTGCTAGCGGGGCTGCTAAATATTTCGTTTGCGTTCTGAGAGCTGCAGTATATTTTTTAGAGCCAGGTCTGCCGCTCCTTCGAAGCACAGCAGCTGGGGATTGCAAAGTAGGCTGTGCCACTCATTCCCACGGCCATAAACCTCTTGTCTCTGTTCCTTTCAGCTTATGACACCTGGTGTGGTGTGGCTCATGGCTGCACGAAGAAAATCGGGCTGAAGATATGTGGTAAGTGAAAAGATGCGCGCGCAAAAAACCGTGTAGCTCCGGTCATACTCTCTCTGTGTGTGCCTGTGTCTCTGTCTTTTTCTCTTTCCTTCTCTCTCTCTCACCTCATTCCCTCCCTCAGGCTTTGTCTTGAATCCATAATCATCCCCGAAGCTTTTTTATCACTTGCTTAAACCCATCACCGCTTAAACCCATCAAATTGGCGCATCACCGCTCCCTTTCTGAAGCAACTGGGTTGGCCGACCAGAGAAAAAGTAGGCCACCTCTTTTATCTGCAGATAAACGCAAGAAACGGGAACGAACCCGCAAAGAAACGTTTCTCCTCCCCTTTCCTCCTCCCACGGAGAAGTGCGACGAGGCCACCATCAGCAATACCCCAAATTCGTTTTCAAGGAGGCGGTGGGATGGGCGGCCTGCGTGTCTGTGTTAAGAGCGAAATTGGCGCTTCTCTCTAATCCTGTGCTAGAGGCTCTTGCGCCACCTACTGTCCGACGCAAGCACAGACCGTCAGCAGCCGGGCAAAGCGCAGCTGGAGGTAGAATTTACTGGTTCCCCGTTAAATTGACCTACTGGTGCTAGAAAACAAGAACTGCGGCTGCTGGAAATACACCACAGGCTTTTTTCCCCATAGCGAGATGGGCGTTTAGCAGATGGATAGCGCGACACCTGTGTGCATTTGCAAGAGGTTCCTTGGACGGGAGACCCTCTGCCCAAAAAGAACTGCAGGTCCTTTTGCGCGTGCGATGCAGATGGTAGATTAAACAGGGCTAGCTTTAGGAAGAAGGCATCTCCGCGATTCTGCTCCTCCTGCCCACCTCAAAGGGGGTAACTCCTCCTGAAGCCTCCGGGTATCCAGCTCCCTCCGGCGACCCTGTGAAACGGGGGCAGTCGAGGAAGGCTGGGGAAGGGGGTGTGGCGGCGGCGCACGACCGAAGGCGAGAGCGAGCAGCAGGAGGAAGAGAGCGCTTGCCAGGCGGCGAGTTGGGGCTGCTTTGCCACATCTCACTGTCTGAAATTTTTCAACCTTATCGGCCCAGAAAATACGGATCTCCTGGGGGAGAAAGATTAACGAGAGCCTTATTAAAGAGCCATTCGTCAGGCTGCTGCGTCCGGGAGATAGGAGGCTGGCAGCCAGTCAGCGCTCGGGTGTCTTGAAGTGAAGGGAGGAGGAAGGCGAGCAAATAATATGCCGTCAGATTGCACCCGCTACAGCAAGAGATTCATTTGCGGATAACGAGACTGTCTGCCTCTCTTTAGATTTCTTTATAACGCCTAGGAAAGAAGGGGGGGGCGGGGACGCCTAAGCGCAGCCAAATCGTGGTCCATGTTTTGCTTCTGGAGGTTTTAAATGCATTTAACAATAGCCCGGTCCTGTGTGCGCTTGCTCGTAAGAAAACTGAACTCCATGGGGTTTACTCCCAGGAAAATACGCACAAGATCCCGGACTTTCAACAGAAGCCCTTTGCGCGCTTATTTGGGAGTAAGGCTCGGGTTAGGGACTTGCTTCTGGGTAAACACACATAGGATCAGGCTGAGAGAGAAGCGCTTTCATTAAATCACGTGTGTGCTCTTAAACATGCACTTGCAAGCACGCACTCACACGTTTTTCACTAATATTTCAGCATGCCAGAGGGTGGTGGTGTATTTTAAAGTCGAAGGAAACACACGGGGAGCCGGTATTAAGGCGCGTCTGAAAAGCACCAGCGCCGAGGTTGCTTTAACCCTTCCAGCCCAGCAGAGGTTGCCTTGGAGCCGAAGCAAGGGCTGCTATTAACTTCTTCCTCTTCTATAAATAGCTCCTGATCTGGGCTTAATGGGCCGTTTCCTTGCTGGTCCCTTCAGTGGCTGGAGCGGCGAGGGTTTTTTCATCATCATTTTAATTTAGCTCGGCAAGCAGAACTGATAAAGTAACGCGCCGCTGCCTCTGGTTGCTAGACTACCGGGTTTTATGGAGGGGCAACCCTTCTGCTGCCACTAAACAAATACAGACCGCTAGAAATACTGCGCGCTCTCCCAACAACCGTTGCCAATGCAGCACGGTGGGCAACAGCGCGATCCCCAAACCGGTCGAGCTCTTAAAGGCTTTAAATCCAGACCTGTAGCGTATAGAACGTTTTGGACTGATCCGCAAAGTCCTGCTGGTGGTTTTTAGAGCAGTTAGTCTTTAAGGTGTCCCCAGACTCGTTTGGTGGTAGTGTTGTGTGGCCTGCGTTTCTTTATTATTTGTGCTGGGAGCGGGGGGGTTGAGCGCGCCTGCATCCTCCCACTTAATAAAATACATGCATTTCTGAGCTGCTTTAGAAATTTTAAACAACGGGACCTCCTTAAGCTGCAGCCATTTGATCGCTGTTAGATTTGTTCGTTGGCTTCAGTCTTCCCTATGGGGAAAGGGCAGGGTAAGGTTTGCGCAGATTAGTTAGATCCACTTTAATTCTTTCCATATTAAATTCAAAAGAGTCTGATTTCTCACAGTTGGGAATCAAATTTCCATCGTGTGTGTATGTAAATCCCTTCGTTGCGTCTGGCGCTTCCAAACGTCGCCGGTTGCCGGGCCATTAAGGACTTTCAAGTCGATTACCCTGCGCGATTGATCAGCTAATTAGCCAGCCCATCAAAGCGAGTATTATGGTCTCTCAAGGCAAGCGGCTGGCTGGCGGATGCTTCCTGGAGCAAAAACGTGCCGACTTATAGGCGACCAATCACCCGTTTTGTCCAGAGTTGTGAAGGCGTCTCGCCGGACTTGAGGCACCTAACCCAGATGTCTGTGCAACGCCGAAGTAACTTTCGCGAAAGGCAGGCCTAACTAAAAAGCGAACTGAAGGTTTATTTTTTTAAGCCAGCCGTGAATAAATTATTATGAAGGTGATGTTGTGCATCTTGGTCTAACCGTAAAGGCAGAAGATGTGAGAAAATTATTTAAACCCAGGAATATTCGCATTTCTTTTTCCGGCGCCCACACCACCCGTGGATACAAGATTTTCCGTTTGAGATATTATATAAACCAGGCCTTGCTGCACTGCTCCCTGTTGCTGGAGCCTAACATCCACCCATCATCCCTTGACCGTATTGCCTGATGGGCTTTTGAGTCCATCAACTTCCGGAGGGCTGCTGGTTCCTCACTTCTGCAGTGAATTATAATCGCCTCCCTGAGAACTAGCAACTCTGTTTGAGGATCCGGGTTCCTCAAGCTCCTGTGGTGTCTGCAAAAAGAGGGAGGGGCCAGAGATCTCAGGATCCCACCAGGAGGACGGAGTTACATTCAGCAGAGATCTGAATTGAGATCAAATCCTACAGAATTCGATTTACTTCTGAGAAAGCACGTGTTGTCAGACAGCGCTGCTCCCTTGCCTTGCCTTGAAGCAGGGACTGTCTTTTAGCGCTTACAAACCCTGGCGGAGGCGATCGCAACCGGAAAATGTTTATTCACATAAGGCCTCGCCTCAACTTCGAAGCAAGCTCTTTTGATTTCAGCGGACTTTCCGATTTCTCTCCGTGGGGTTTCTATGGACGCGAAGTCTGGATAAAGGGGCGTCTCCCCAAAGACTGCGACCGCCAACTCAGTGTGACTTAGGTGGCTGCAATCCTTTACCTGGAACTGTGACTCAATGGAACTTGCTTCTTGAGTAGAGAGACATGTTTAGAATTGTGCTGTTATCCCAAAGTAAGAGAGCAAAGGATTGCCGCACAATTGGGAAGAAAGGCCACCGAAATCCAGCGGGATATATTTTCCCCAAATATAACGGGTTTAGGATTTGTGCTGCTTGATCGATGCTGACCGCACCTAGGCATGTTTATTCAGGGAAATAAGTCGCGCTGCGTCCCGTGAAAATCACTCCTAAGTAAATGCGCGCAGGATGAAGAATTGCCAAATGCGATGGTGCCAAAGAACAGAATAGAACAGAGAACATGAGGCCATACTGTATTTTTATGTATCTCACCTGTCCCCTAAAGACGTCAAGGAGATTTGAACCGCCCCTCCCTTCTTGGTACATCACTCTGACACCTAGTTAGGGAAGTTCTCGAAGGACACAAGAGTTCTTATTCGGAAGTGTCCAAAGCAAGGAAAATAAAAGAAACACACAACACATATCCCTTCTGTTCAGCACAGTAGAAACCATAAATATCTTTAAACTACCGCAAAAGTTACCACAGTGCATCCCAGAAGCTATACACTAATAGAAAGCGTTTTAGAGGAGCGATTAGGTTTGAAAACCCACTAGGAACGAAGCAGAGAATACTTCCAGCGGGACGCAGCATAGAGGCCACACACTACTTCCCCTGAGGTGGTGGAAACATTGGTTTAATAAATGAATAAATAAATCCGTTAACTTTGCAAACCAGTTAAATTGCAGTCCTTCAACCTGAACAGTATTTATGAAAGCAGGACCCACAAAACTCTTTCCTTTTATGCAAGTTTAGATTCTTTAAACTTTTCAGTACCATCCAAGCTTGTGCCCTTGGTTCGGTTTCGGTGTTTCGCATTCATTCAGGATGCACAATGGAAATTCAATTTCTGTTCAAAGGTACAGAAAGACTAGGGAAACTTCTCTATTCTGAGGCGAATCAGAGTGGACAGTAATTTATTCTCTGCTGCCCCCAGTGCTTGTTTTCCCGGTATAATTATTTAATTCGAGTATTCAAATCGTTTTGTTGCCATTCTTCCATTTCGGTATTTTGTTGTGTGCGCCTTTGTCTCTTAGACTTAGACCCAACTCGCAGCCGGAAGGAATACGCTGCTTGTTTTAGAAATAAGCGAACCCAACAGCCAATCAGCCAATCAGAGTGAAGTAGGACTCCTTTCCTAATTGGCTATGCTCTCCTTTATGTAATGTGAGCCGCGCTCGGATTTATCCAATGAGGCTTCAGTAGAACATTCACAAAATTTCTGCGGTGGTTCTTGGGTGGGCGGACTATCGAACGCAGTCGCTCTTGTTTCTAGTCCTCAAGGCCACTGTAATAGAGCGAGGTCGAAAACGAAAAGGCTGCGGAAGGTTGGGTCG